ATTCGGACAGCGCGCGCGGGTAGAAATTTTGAAAAGTCGTGCAGGTGTTTTTCGAGGACCTACGGTGCGATTCGTGTGATTTTATGATGCGCGGTGCTAAAATTCTTAAGAAGCCCAATGGTTTTTGGAGATTTCGGCGTGCGCGCGCGAAGAAAAAACGAATGTGTCCCGCATGGTATTATTTGACAGGGATGATGGCCCTGGCAGGTGCGCAACCGTTGTCGCAGAAGTTCGAAAAAGTTGCTCGCAAAAGCCCGTTTGACAGAAATGTTTAAAAAGTGTTGGGTTTCCTACGAATCCGCAAGAGCGCGCGGGATGAGATTTTGACATTTTTTTGTTGAAAAACCATTGGTTTTTTGATGTTTTTATGTTAAAATCGCTTCCGAACACTAAGCTTTTGGAAGGATTTCGTCTTGCGCGCGCGAATGTCCACTTTACCTTATTTTTTGCAAGGGATTCTTGAAATTTGATTATATTAGAACAAGAAATGTCATTTTATAGTGTTTTTGCAAGGGAAAACGGATTACAACAAAACAGCCGGATCTTGATGACATCGTATTACCTGAGGCTTCCTCACGAAAATGATGAAAATGTAGCTGCGGCCTAGGCGGCGCAGGGGGGCCGTGCACCAGGGGTCCCAACAATAATTATTCTTTAGAATTAATAATGTTCAACAACGATAACAAACACAATACATCAACAACATTGATTTTAAGGATCTCGTATCTGCCCACGTGCCACTCAACACATAGATCCCAAACCCTCGATACCCGCTCTCTTCGCCTTCGATCGTGCCACCTTAGGAGGCATATCTTTCTTACCTGCAGCGTGTGCTTCGTGCAGTCCCTAAGGCATGGGGGAGAGAGGACGGACGGAAGGAAGGGACACGGGGCAGGCGGGTTTCTGAAGCGTGCGTCCTGCGTGAATCGCGAGGAGGTCTCGAGCGATAGCGCGATTGCCAACTATATCGTGAGGAAGTCCACAGCGACAGCGTGGGGCACGGCGTCTGAACCAATTGCCTGCATACCTTGTGTGGAAGTCCCGCGCGAGAGCGCAATGTTCCAATACATAGTGAGGAAGTATCAGGCGGGAGCCGCTGTTGTTGTTGTAACTCGGGGGCCAGGAGCGCAATTTGACACTCAAGACTGTGCCTGATGACAAAACAGGGTGCGAGTCCCTGAAAGGGCGCTTCAATGGAACAAATGCAATGTGCACCAGCCGGGGAGATCAACAATGACTATGTTTCAAAAGTGGAAATAAAACAACAACACAAGCAAGCATAACAACAAAACGACACCAACAGCACCAACACCAACCGCAGCAACAGCAATAGCAGCAACAACAACAACCGCATCAACACAACGACAATATCAGCAACAACAACAGCATCAGCAGCAACAACACCACCAGCAACACCAACCACAACAACAGTACACAAGCAACCCACAATAAACAGCAAAAACGACAACAACGGCAACAACAGCGCAAACAACAACACAGCGACAATACCAACACTAACACCAACCGCAGCAATAGCAGCAGCAGCAGCACAACGACAACAGCATCAACATCAGCAGCAACAACACCAACAACAACTAACAATTAAGACAACAACGACAACTATGTACACCACCTACCGACTCAGCAGCATCACCAGAACAAACACACCAACAACAGCGACAGCATCAGCAACAACAGCATCAGCAACAACAGCCATACCAATAACACCATCACCGCCAACAGCAACATCAACAATAACCACAACAATATCATCAACACCACTTCCATCAACAACCAACAGCAACAACAACAACAACAACCACAGCATCGACAAGAACAGCAGCAGCAACAACAGCAACAGCAGCATGCCGATTCTTGAAGTAGGAAGGCGCTTCATGTAGATCTGGATCCTGGAATCCAGAAGTACCTGCTTCCAACGACTGGTGCGTACCCTTTCGCTGGCCCTCCACGGGCGCGCGGGGCTCGCCGGGGGCGGCGCTGGAGGCACCGCCACGGGCGTCCAGCACCGATCCGCGCGAACCTCCGAACATTGATGTTCACGCATGTGCTCTGGTCTGCGACCCCCTCGTTTGGGAGGTAACTCCTGGGACACCTTCGCGGCCACGATTAAGACCGACTCTATCACGGCAAAGCTACAACACTTTAGCCCCAACGTACCCTGCGGACAACACTACGGCCGACCCAGACGGAACATCACGCCGCAGGAGTTCGCAGCAAGATTCAACCCCGGAGTAAGCTGGAAGTCTGGCTGAACCCATGAGATTTTCGAGCCCTGATCATCCCTCCTCCTCCTCCTCCTCTTCTTTCTCCTCTTCTGTATCCTCCCACTCTCGAGGCGACGCCGCCACAATCGTCGTCGCTTCCATTCAGCGACGGCGGTACCCGAAGAGAGGCCTTCGCAACATCAGAGCTGATCAAGATGGGCAATTTCCCACCACAACTACCATAGGTAGGAGAGAGAGGAGGAGGAGGAGGAGGAGGAGGAGGAGGAGGAGGAGGAGGAGGCGGATGATCCCTCGCCATAGGGAGAGGAGGAGGAGGAGGAGGAGGAAGAGGAGGAGGAAAAAGAGGCGGAGGAAAACTTCCCCATCCTCCTTTCTCCCCCGTCCCACATATTGTAGTGGTGGTGGTGGGAAATTGACCTATCCTCACCAACCCAAAGCAGAAGAAGGAAAAACAAGTTCGACTGAACATGGGCTCATCCCTCCTTCCATCGGCAGCCCCGACGCGCCTAGCGGCAGCCCCGATGCTTCTATCGGCAGCCCAGAAGCCTCGAGGCCTGCGCACGCAGAGCCCGCCATGTCGTTTGTTTTGTGTGTATGTGTAACTGTATGTGTATGTGTGTGCGCGTGTGCGTGTGTATGTGTGTTTGTGTTGGGGGACAACGTGCTTCCTCGGCTGGGGCCAAAACGTGGATGCCGCCACATGCCGAAGACGATGTTGGAAGGCATCAGGATGATGCCGACTAGGTACGGCACGAGCAAGAGAACGGTTACATTGAAAGCAATTCTCTTCCTCACCAAACGTGTTGAACAGACTCGCGCTACGCCGAAGGAGAGGAGGAGCTGCAACGTTCCGCCAGTGATTGCAAGAAAGAAGAGGTTGAGGACAAGGAAGAGGACGAGGGGGGACAGCGGGCAGCGCTGTTGCCCTAAAGGCTCGGGCTATCAGCGCTTGAAGCCCTTGGCGCTTTGCTGAAGCCCGAAGAGGTACACCCGAAGCATAAAACTGCGACGTGCAGACCAAACAAGCTGATGTGTAACCCATCTATCCCGAGATCGTCTTAAAGCCATCGAAATGTTGCTATCGATAGTGCAGCCCGCCACGAAGTGTATGCCGTATGCCTTCAACCAGAACTCGCACTACTAAACTTCACACCTTGTGCTGAAACTGGGCATCATGTACGAGCTGAAATCTGAACAGACGACTCAGGAACGTTGTGAAAACGGGTCGAGGGACCAGTGAGAGATAGAGAGGACGAGCTGAGTGCGCTCGCGCCAACCCATCCCTTCCCATGGCGCTGTCTTTTTCTCTATTCGCAGACGCATGCCATAGCGAACCTGGAAGTCCAAAAGGTCCCGATCGTGTTATGCACAATCGGCAATAGAGGCTGCGTATTTTGGAGAAGGTGGCGAATGCGCAGGGGGATGAGCAGGAGAAAAGACTCGGATCCTGAAAGGAGGCCTACGCCTGGGGCGAGAGTGCCATTCCGAACGACGGGAGCACAACGCCGATCCTAAACTGAGGGCCACGCTGCAACGGCAACACCATTCTGAAGAAGCGGGAACGAATGGATCGTAAAACAACCCGTCAGAAGGACCAACTCATGCAATCCCGTTTGAGAAACAATTCGTGGAGGAGAGCGGGCTACTCCCTGGCCATATTCGAGGAGGGAGGAGAGGTGTATTCATACCAACACGACCGACCACACTTCATGTGACAATGAGGTTCGGGGGGAGGGCGGAGGAAACAACGCCTCACTCAGTCGATATGACAATCGATCTGACTATCGATCTGTATCGACCTCACTATCGATCTTACTGCCGATCCCACTATCGATCTCACTCGATCGATCTCACCCGATGGATCTCCCCAACAATCTCACTGTCAGAATCAAGATCGATCTCACTATCTGGATATCGATCTCATTCGATCGATCTCACAATCGATCCAACGATCCCTCGCAAACTCAATCTCAATCGATACCCCTATCGGTCTCACTAGCCATAGCACTACCAATATTATGTACTATCGACCTCGCAATCGATATCGCCGTCGACCACACTGTAGATCTCACTATCGACCTCACTCGGTCGATATCACTATCGGTCTCACTACGGGACACCGACGGGACACCACGGCGGGACACCCCGCGGCCACCGCAAACGGGGGGCAGACTTCTGTCCTCAGTGCGCCATGGCCAGAGGAGGGTTCATTCCTCTCGCCCGCCTACGCAGCTCCGTCTCGCTCGCACGCACGACACGAACCCGAAACTGACTGCGATCTCACCTCCTCACCTCCGATTGATTATTGTGAGTGGGGGGAGCTTGACAAGCTTGACAACGATGAGGACTTTTCAGTGGGTCCAGACTCCACGTTACGCATTGACAAATATGACTGCATCGTATGCGGATCTCGCCACGAGTCGGCATACTGTGCGCTTCCAAAGATCATGTGCAACGCTGTTGCAACACGTGTATTGGGCACGGGGGGACGGAAGCGTGAAGGCGTGGAGGCTTCACGCGATCCTCCTCCTCGTCGATGCTCGATCCTGGAATGAGGTCGCCAGAATTTGCAACCTCTTTGGCTTGCGCGTTGCCCTACAGGGGTCGTGCACCATAAGGCCCGTCCGTTCTTTGAGCTCTTGTTCTCCCAGGCGGTTGGTGGCCCCTTCACCAGTGACTCCCTCTGGCACCTCCAGAGGCCTCCATACTCTCTCTGGAGGAAGCGCACGTCCCGGGCTGCGCGGCCGCAGCTGCCTTGAGCTCTATGTCCAGCTTGGTAAAGATCTGGCGGGCGGGGTGCCGGTGCAGGGAGGGCGAGACGGGTGCGACCTTAAAAACTGGATCTGGATTGTTTGGGGGGCCCTCTGGCCCCTTATCGACGCGCACGTCTTTTCCCGCCAAGGAGGGCAAGCAGGACAACGAGGATGGTGAGAAGACCCAGTAGTGTGAGGAGCACGTGAGGAGTGAAAGAAGGACGGATGCGATTATGGGTGGGGGCCCTGCCCGGCTGGTGTAGAATGCCCCCTTTCACTCAACATCTGACTACATCTGAACCGCATGTTCGGATCCTCCAACTGTCAGAAAAAAAAACATGTAGTTCCGCTGACCGCCAGCCTTTACTGCTTTCTCTCACCTGCGCCACCCTTCTGCACCGCTTCCCCCGCCTGCTCATCCTCCTCTTTCCCTCTCCCAGCACTACTGAAGAAAAGAAGCCAACCCTTGCGCCTGGCCTCTGGGTGGTTGCTCCGCGCCTGGCTGCGAGAAGAACGCAAGCGGCAGGAGTGCATCGCCACGGCAACACCACCACCACCCACCCAGAACATGAACTCGATCGTGCACCCACGAACCTCAATCCAGATCCTGCGCCATCGCAACATGCCCTCGACAACAGAGGTTGCACTTGGTAGGAACTGCAATCGGCAGTGCTACGCTTGACGATTGGCATGACAGCAACTGAGCCATGATATCTGTACATGTGCTTGCATGCACGTGCGCTCATATGGACGCAATGTGTGATAATACGTAGGTGCACTTATCGATACAACAAGCATGAAGACATATCAGTTATATATGCTGTATCAGATGATGCATTACAATCAAAACGCGCTCGGCCTCATACTTAACCTGGCTGGAGCGCTTCTGCTCCGCATGTCTTCAGCAGACTTTTGGTCGTGCGCAGCACGTGCCTTGAACTCGGCTCGTGGACTGAAACAGGCGCAGTCGTGTCACAGCAAGGAGTTGCTTGGAAGCGCGACCCTGACGCGATCGAAGTCCCACCAGCCCGATGGGTACTGTTTCTGATAGAAAGAGTGCTTGAGCGAAGAGTGCCAGCGCACAAGGCGCACAAGGCGTCTTGTGCACGGAGAGAGCGTGATCCACCGCCGCTTTACTATGGAAAATTGCCGCCCTTTTCCTCCGGAACCCGGGGGTCCCCCCCCCTCCAAAATCCCCCCCCCCATGCTGGACCCCCCCCCCTTCCCCGGCAAAACCCCCCCCCTCCCTAACCCCCCCCCCCCCTCCCCCTCGAAAACCGGGGAGGTCACTACGGGTTCGAACCCCCCCCCCCCGAAACCGGGGGGGGGTCACTACCGGTTCGAACCCCTCCCCACCCCCCCCTCACCGCCAGCAAACGACTCCCGGTCCCTACCACCGTCCTCACCACATCCCCCACTGTTGTTCCCAGCACCACTGTCCTCACCACCACTGTCCCCACTGGTTCCACCACCGCCCCTGTTGTCCCCACCAGTGCCACCACCACTGTCGCACTGTCCCCACTGTCCCCACCACTGTTCCCACCACAGTTCCACTCTCTAAAACTTTCTCCACGGCCCCAACCACTGCCCGACTATCCCCACTGTCCCACTGACTCCTCCCACTGAGCTGTCCCACTGTTCCCACCACTGTCCCCACTGTCCCCACCACTGTCCCCACTGTACCTCTGTCCCATTGTCCCATCGCCGTCCTCGCCACCGCCTTCACCACTGTCCCCACCACCGCTGTACCCTCCACTGTCCTACTGTTTCCACCACATTCCCACTGTCCCCACACCACTGTCCCCACCACCACCACCATCCCCACCGCTGTCCCCGTGTCACCACTGTTCCCACCATTGTCCTCACCATTGTCCCCACCACTACCGTCCCCACCACTGTCCCCCTGTCCCCACCACTGTCCCGCTGTCCCCTCACCACTGTCCCCACCACCACCGTCCCCACCACTGTCCGCACCCCCCCCGGTTTTCGAGGGGGGGGGGTTCGAACCGGTAGTAACCCTCCCGGTTTTCGAGTTCGAGGGGGGGGGGTTCGAACCGGTAGTGACCCCCCCCTTTTCATGATGAACTGGGGGGGGGGGCGGAGGGGTTCGAACCGGCAGTGACCCCCCCGGTTTTCCGGAGGGGAGGGGGGGGAGGGGTTCGAACCGGCAGTGACCCCCCCCGGTTTTCCGCCAGCAGCGGTAGAACACGCTCTTTCTGTGCACGGGGTCCATATACTATCGTGCTACTTATGCGCCTCCTCCTTCTCCTAAATAAGCACGCGCGCGGACTCAGTCCAAAGGGCATTCACAAAAGCCCCACACAAGGCGCACAATGTCCCCGGCACAAGGCCTCCGCGCAAGACTCGCGCGATAACTCTTTCTATCCCAAGCAGAACAGTTTGTATATACAACTCGGCACGTGGACTGAAACAGACCCAGTCGTGTGACAGCAAGGAGTTGCTCAGAGGCCAGATCCTGACGCGATCGTCATCCCACCAGCCTGACGGTTTGTGGTTTCCATTGGCGGAAAACATATCCGTATCCGCGGCCTCGCGGGCGGGGCCCCTGGGCCGCGACCGCGCGATTACAGCGCGCTGATTCGCAGATACACCGCGCGGAACGTACATGTGCGACCGCGTATCCGCGGGATCGCACCCCAGAACCCAGCCCGCGAGGGCGCGGACACGGATGTGTTCGCTGCTCGTGAGGTGGAGCGAATTTTGTCCTTGCAGCCCCCCTTCTTCCCCTACAGGGAGGTGTGTACCCTTCCCTCTGCCCCGCGTCGAAGCACTTTCCGCTTTGCCTGTGGACTAGACGTGGCTATCTTTTCTTTTTTGCGTCAGGGCGCTGCCGCGAGGGCGAGCTCAGGAGATGCTCGCGCGCACTCGCTCGCACCTCGTCGCGCTAGCCTCCAGGGCTCGACCAAAATAGTGCTTTCCGTTTTCGTGTTGTGTTCGTTCTCCCGCGTTCTGTGTTCGATCCGCCTTTGCTGCAAAACGCAATCCAAACGAAAACGGCTCACGAGATTGCCAAAACGCCGTTTAGGTCGAGCCCTGGTAGCCTCCATGTAACGCCGCTTCGGTGACGCTTAGGAGACCTCCCTGGGGATGTTCGGGGGCGGGGGCCTCTCTGTGGGCTTCGTGCGTCAAGGGCGGCAAACGTACACATATCGACGCCCTCGCGATCTGGATTTCCGGGGCGCGATCCAATGGATACGCGGTCGCCTGGATGCGTTCCGCGCGGGGCATCCGCGAAAGAACGCCCTGCATCCGCGGGGTCGCGGCCAAAGGGCCCGGCCCGCGAAGCCGCGGATACGGACATGTCGCCGCGCCGTTTGTTCTGAACGCGCCCAAGTGGACGAAGCCGGCGCCGCGGCAAACCTTGCGTCTGAGGCGGAGTCTGCCCTGGCGACCGAGGCGCCCTCCCCATAACAGAAGGCCGCGAGTCAGAACAAACGGCGCGGCGACATACGTGATCCGCCCACGAGTGAGGGTCTTTGAGGGCCTCTGCAGTGCCTCCTCAAAGTGTCGCCGCTGCACTCACGAAGACGTCTCGAACGGAAGCAGACACCGCTTCGAGGAGAGAGCCGCCACCCCGCCAAGGCCGCGGAACGACGTGAGGAAACCAGGCGCGCGAGTCCACATATGGTGTCAAGAGGACCTTTTGCGGGGGCTCCTTGAACTCCTCAGAGGTGCCTTAGGTCGGGCATGTCCTCCGACATGCAGATATTGCAGGAAAAATTCGACATAGTTCAACAAATGCCCAACAATAGTCAAACTATAATCTGGAAATCGTCCCCAGACTATGTCTTGATTACTGTTGAATATTACTCCTCTAGATGGGCATGCCCGACTTACGATGAGCCTGCAGAGGCTCCCTGAGACTCCCCAGAGGGAGCCTGCCAAGGCTCCTTCACTGCCAAAATCTCCTCAAGGGACACCAGATGAGCTCCCAACAGACTCTTCGGGTGCGTCCAACAGGAGGGCGGGTCGCAAACCGTGGCCTGAGGCACGTGCTCGGACGAGGGGGCCCGATGACGTGCTGAACACAGAAGAAGGGGCCATGACATCCTGGGTGATGTCATGGCCACTGCCATGATATCCCCCCTCTGGAGAAGAGGGGATATGTCGACTCTTGTCCCAGGCTTCTGGGGGCGTTCGAACGCAGAGCTCGGGGTATTTAGGACAGAAGGGGCGTCTATCCTGGATAGGGGTGCGTCCGGTTGGCCCCGCCGGGGTGCATCCCCGAGTTCCCCTCTTTTCCTGAACGGCTCGATTTTTCGTGGAAGAATCGGGGGCTGGGGGCGAGAAGTCGCCTGCGAAACAGGAGGATGAGGAGGAGGAGGAGGAGGCGGAGGAGGAGGAGGAGCAGGAAGACGAGGAGGGGAAGGAGGAGAGGCGTATTCGCCCGAGGCCGGTGGGAACAGGTCCCAGGCCCCCCGCGGCGGCGCCCAAGCGAGGCGCCAAGGCAGCCAGCGCGACCCGGCCATAGTCGCGAGGGCACCCCCCCGCGCCCTGCAGCAGGCTGCAGTCATACTTCTGCGTGAACATCATTCACAGCGCAGTATGGCATCCAACCGGCGGGGACATTCTCGGGTACGAGGTGGTTCTAGGCATCGTGGGCAGTCAACGGCACGGGCGCTGCTTGCGCGAATGGACATGCACAAACTGCGGGCTCACCAACCCCTCATTCGCCAACAAGAGTTCTTGCGAAATGCCCCCATATCCGAAGAGAAGACCCAAGACTCCAATCCAGAGGAAGGATGCAGCAGTTCCAACGCACCAAGCTTATCCATGGAATCAAGACAGGATCAAAGAGCGAGCCCCGCCAGAGAGGGATCCAGCAGTTCAGAAGCTCATTGGCATTATCCCCATGGCCACTCGAGAGGAAACAGAAACTACACCAGAAATTGAAGAGCCCCCGACGGACAACAGCATGACTCGGCCGTTGAGGTTCAAGATCTATGCCAAGCAAACCCAACTGGCCATGGCCGTCATGCAGCCAGAGAAGGCGGGCATCCACATGGAGGAGTCCAGGCATAAGATATCCATGAGCACGTACACTTTAGACATCATGAGAAAAGCGGCAACCAGAGCGAAAGGTCATAGACAAAGCGTCGACTGATGGAAGGACACCATCAAGAGGACTCTTCGAGGAGAAGATCGCGGTCGAGAACAACATCGCGGAAGCAGACATGCAGCTCGATCGCGCCCAACAGGCACTGCGGGACGCCATGAAAGACACAGATGGAAAAGGAAAACGAGGCGGACGACGACCCCGGCGAGGAAGACGAAACGAAGGGAGACTTTCTCGACGAAACCATGGCGGCCCAGCCAGATCGATCAGCATAACAACCACATCGCAGCAGCGGAAGACGAATGCATCCAGCAGGAGAAAGGCCGCAACAGGACGTGAGCTCAAGCAGCGCCGAGACACCGAACAATCAGCGTACAGCCCAGCAGATTAACCAGCTCATGGAAGCGACCGCGGCGCAGCA